TCTACACACTGCTTCCTGCGCCCACGGTTGATAATAGAATTCTGCTCTGCGTTCTTCTTCTGGGTTGCCAACAACGTCTATCATGGTCTTCAAATCCCTCGTTTGCGAGATAATCCATTTGTTGATGAACTGCTGAGGATCTTTAGCGAAACTCAAGAAGAACTCTCGGTTCGTTTTTAACTGGTTGATCGTTTCGACCGTTTCATGGATTTTATTGTCGAGGCTCTGGATTTCTTGTTGACTTGCAGTCGATAACAGGAAGTTGTTCATCTGTGTTTTTAACGTATCGTCAACTTCCACGTCTATGTCGTAACACGCAGTCTGTTTCGTTTCTGTACCTAATTTAGAACGTGATAGAACAAATGGTTATTTTTTGTTTTTGCAAATCTTGGAATATAGTGTGCACTTCTTAATTATTATTGGAGGATCCTTTTGCAAACTCATATTTTTGAGAATATAATTACAAAATACAGGCTCGGCAGAAAATTGTTTTGCCTACCAAGTATTATAGAAAGCACTATACTTTGGATATATTATACATTTTCTCACACTATGTGCATTCTGTGCAATTTCACACTTTCAAGTTTCCTATAGATGCATACAAATCCGCACTCTAATTATTATTGATAGGTACCTTCGACGCTAATAACGTGATTGATCACGATCGGGTCTGGAGGATGGAGCAACGGATTTAAACGCTGTGGTATTTCCGCGAATTTCATCCTTGAGCAGGCAAATATTTGTTCGAGATATTTATCACAGTTTATGAATTCCCTCTCATGACTGTCTTGAAGCTTGTGTGTCTTTATGTACTGCCAAAGAGCAGAGATAATAACAGGTCGCGTTTGGGTATGTACACCTAGAAGTCGGGCTAATCTAGGATCTAGTTTAAACTGCAACCAAAAAATTTCTGTTAAATTCTAACTCAGCTTACATTTATTTTATTCATTAATAAGGATGTATAAGAACCAGAGGATGTCAAACTGGGAAAATTTAATTAACTTAAATTAAAGTAGTCAGAGCAATTAGAATGTTAAGCATTTTTGATTTTACAAATTTTAGTACATCCCTTTTATTTAAAAGAAATGTTACCTGTAAGGGTTGATAGTCGAGAAGCAAGAGAATAGTGCATCGAACATTTTTATCTCCAGGTCTTTTCACTTGGAAACCATCAGTTTCTTGTGTTGTCAATGTACGGTGCCATTCAACCAAGTGATTGTCAGGCCCATATAGATCTTTATCCAATTCTATAACTAGACTTTTAAAAAAGGAAGAGAATTTCCTTTTTACCTAAAAATCGTTGTAATATAAATGAATTATCCTTTGTTTTCAGATGATCTATTGTTTTCTTTTCTAAAAATAAACTGATTTTTACTTTATTAGGATCATTTTTCGTATCGTCTAACAGTCGTCCCTCGACTCTAAGTTCCCAGGATGCAACTGAACCTTCTTCACCCTCGCCAGCCTCTTTCGCCGGGTAGAACGTATTTGAAATAAATATTCGCAATTTTCTTTTTTGTTTCATTGGGCGTTTCAGTGCTTCTTGTATATCAAGTCGCTTTCTCATTATGGTCGCGTCTAATTTCCTCTCAAATGCAAGTAAGTCCATATAAGCCTGAGATTCAGGCACTAAATCGCGCACTTTTTGTGGCAATATCTTGTCTGCTAGCTTTTTCTTCTTCTTGGACGTGGAATGTGAAAAATCACTGTTCCAAAAATACCTATATGAGTTTGTGTAAAAATCATAGATTCAAAAATCAATAAACCAATTTTTAAGCTTATGAAATGCAGTGAAGTTCCTGGTGAATTCAGTGAATGGTTTCTTTTTAACATTTTGATGATGACAAATAAATTAATAATTTAATAATCAAGTAACCAAATTGATAAAAAATTAATTGACATATTGCTTTTTGAAATGTGCAAAATCATAGATACTAAAAGCTAGTTTATTCCAATAAAAACAATTAGTTAATACATTGTATAATGCAATGAGTTAATGAGCAAAGTAATACAAAATATGGATGCAAAATTAAATAAAAGCATGCAGTGTTAGTGTACTTACGGTTTCTGTTGTGACATAGGAATACGTTGATCTGCGCTCCTTTTTCCAACAGGTGGAGTCGGCATAGGCCCTTGACGCATGTTCGAATATGGTTGATTGGCTCTTATTATACTGGCTGGTCCGGGACCTGCATTAGCCATTTGTGGAGGAGGAGTAAATCCGGATCTCTGCTGCATCTATATAAAAATTAACTTAGAAGTTCCTTACTGTTCCAGTTAATTCAGTTATCTTAATTCTTATATACTTACAGGAAAATTTGGGCTAGAATACTGCCGTAAATTAGGAGGTACAGATGATGCAGCATACCTTTGTGGTGGAGGGCCATTATTTCCTGTATTTGGTACAGGAAACCTTTGTGCCATGTTTCTTTGGTGATAATCCTACTGATTGAAATCAACAAACGTTTCATTCATACAAATATTGTTGTACGGTTTACAATAAACAAAAGAATTTAAATGAAACTTTATCAAACTTTATTCTACAGCAAAGTCACACAAATTGCTATCAAAATATACAATATTTTATTACATAAGAAAGTTTATTTATGTCCCTTGTACATAAAATTACTTATTTTTATACACAGAAATAAAAAGACAATGCTTTTTCAATAAACACTTCGGCTTTTCTGTCAAACTAGTGCAACTAGAAAACAAAAACATAACCTCAAAAAGCGTACCTAATTACAACTCTACTTAAGTCGCAATTAATCGTGTTATTTTTCTAAGTATCGTAACATTGTTAACAAAATGGTAAATTTCATAAAACAATCGGTAAAAAGATAAAGAAGATGAATATCGAAAAGCTGAATTAGAACTTTTCCGTCAGAATTGAGTGCATTTTTGCATCACAACACAGTTGCACTTGGAACGTTTCAAACTGCAATGTTCTATGGCTTGATGTGAATCAAAGTATGAAAAGAGAAAAAAGAACGACGAACAAGTGAAACGAATTTGGCAAATAATTGAAAAACAACCTACGCCTTCAAAATTTCTTTCCGCTTTCCTCCAGGTTTAATAAGTTCTCGAAAAGCGGCAGATTATGGGGGAATAATTTTTCTGATTCATGAGAGGGCGCCACCATCTGTACTGTCTGCAGGGATTTTTTAAACTTAATTTTTAATTTGCTAAGCACCTGTTTTTGTATTATAACGTAACTTAGTTTAAAATATCGTAGAATTACGCTAAAAGCATTTTTTAAAATCTTTCATGACTTTGTTTATTTCCTCTAATTGTTTACTAAAGATTTTCTAATTTCCAATACAGAATTATAGAATAATGAAACTATAATATGAACTTTAACGCATTTCAAGTATTATTAACAACTTACTTTACAAAATTCTGTCAAAAAAGTACTTAATTATTTCATTATTCACTGTTTTCATGTAAGCTAAAGTAGTTAGATGAGAATATATTTCTACGTGATAAAATATCGATTATTAGTTTTGTTCTTTTGTATGAATTTTTAGAATAAAATAATAGTAAATTTCTTCAAAAAATAATTTAATAAATTTCCTATATATAAAATTTCCAAATTCTTTAACTGTGTAATAACATTCTGAATTTCTTGTAACATTGAATAAGTCAATTAAAAGATAGTAATAATAGAATACCTTGAATACCACCTGCGCACGCGGATTCTCATGAAAACAATAATTAATCATGAGACGCGTGGGGATTTAATCCCGGATGATTCCGCGTTTAAATCGTAAAACGCGCTCAAATTAAAGTGGGATTAGGTGTCGACAATTATGGCACGGCCACTCAAGTTACAAAATGGTCGTTAGGAACGATAATGATTTTCGATTTGATCACGTGTTCGAAATAACCGAAATTATCAGATTTCGACGAAAATTTTGCTCGTTGACAACGAAGAGGGGAAATGGAAATACGCAAGATGCCGCGATTATATTTAAATCTGAGTCAGTAGCCAGCGATTTCGCCAGTGAAGAATCTTCCATATCGTTGGAATATGAGTTACGTTGATTACGCAATTCTCCGTTATCGCGAATAAAAATCCCCATAGGAAACAACTTTAGGAATATATTTAAGCTTAGACTAGAAATGGCAATGTCTCGTGATTTTTTTCTTGAAAACTACAGATACTGGCTACATTAAATTTTGTGCATTCATTCATACGTATTTCAAGATATATATATATATATATTTCTTTTATTGAGATAATAATTTCAAATTTCAAATGATGATTTAAAAAATACATAAAATATAAAACATTCTGTAATTATGTTAGTTTGAGATAAATGACGTAGCTTGTTTCTATTTACATACTTACACTATGTTTGTTATTTTTTTTTTAAAAGAATGGATTTCTTTTTAGGTTTGAATTTTAAATAATTCTTTTATAAGAGCGCCATCTTAAATAAGAATTTTTAAATTGCCCGTCTTTTGGCGGGCTTTCATCCTCAATCTGTTGGCTCTTCACGTGAATTCAAAAAGTGGATCAACGTAATAATAACTCGACCCATATGACGGCTGGTTATTTAAAGAAAAAACCTCTGATACTCTTTGCGCAATCGAATTTCCTTTTTCCCGTTTTTTCTCGAATATTTGGAGCGTAGAATGCAGCGAAGGAGTGCGTTTGAGTAACAATATGGCGACTTATAGATGAAAGTCGAGGAACAGAATATGGAACGAAGTAAAGATCGTATTTTTCGTTAAAATGACAAGTTTATAAATTAGTTAATAGGAAATTTGAAATAATTGCGGCTTTTATTATTGAAATGAAAGATGATAAAGTCTTAAATCTTTTACTTTCCAGTTCAACATTAACATTAACGAAAATAAAGCTCGGCTTCAACTTTAATTTAATTCTATATTGAAATTTTCATTTGCGAAATGTAACAGTTTTTTTAATTTAATTTGGAATTGAAATTCTGTATAGTATCTTTCTTAGAAATTAATTTAAGTTTAGATTTATTTACAAAATTTGCATCTATTGGCAACTATAATCTACCTACTATGTTTCATATGTAGTTACTTATTTATTATAGTATCAAGTAGCTAAGTTTAATAAGAGTAGCTATTAAAATCGTGGAAAGGAAGCAACACAGTGAATAAGTAATACGACCAAGAAAGCGGAAGGAGAACTGTCTAGAATTAGTCAGCCTCTCAATCCATCACCACCCACCGCAGTCCACAGTGCGCTTCCACCGAAATGGAGCAAATAAAATACATCAGCAATAAGAGAAACATTATTACGATCTAGTGGAGAATTTTACAAGCAACAAAATTTCAGCACTTTCGACAAATTAGTTATATTATGTTTGGTTAATTATTATAACACTTTCTGATATCGTACAGTATGCATAATTTCAGAATTTATGACACACCAATCTTGAAAGTTAGACTACTAAAAAGCTACAATTTATTTCAGTTCACCCAATGTTCAATTTCAAAGTTATTTATAATTTATTCCAATTCAGAAGCAGGTACACAAACATACAGTTCACCTATCTCCAAATTCCTAAAGCTCTTTCCCAAGTTGCTAAACCACCTTTAATCGCCTACGTGATACAAATGCCTGAATTTGCGTCGTGCAAATCTCGAAATCTACTCTACGGAAATTCCAAAATTCGCGACGAATCAGCAAATATGAAACCACGAAAAGGACTACAATTTATAGAAACTCCGATTCACGACCAAGTACACAAACGAGTAGGTAATCCCATCTGCACTTGCACAAGTTGCAAAACCATCCTAATCTTCTGCCTCTTGCAGCTTCCAGCGCGTGATCACTTGCTGCGACCTCACCTATTCCACTGTAATACAACGACTATATACAAGTTACTGGATCAAATTTACCTAACTCGAACGCATGATTTTTCCAATGCTGTCGCACGTGGAACAACTATCGCGTGTATCGTGGAGTCGCAGCTTGGCAGTGGCGATTTTGGAAATTCTACGTCCAAGTGAATAAGCCGCTAATATTAGATCGTCGAAAACTGCGGAAAGCACGTACTCCTACACTGGTAAACATAGATACATGGACACGTACGTGGCGTCGTCATTTTCGAAACACACGAGGTCTGCAGCCGAGGTGTTGGACAGTTTCCTCCAAAGCGTGGGCCGTGTTCCCGCCATCTTCGTCCACTATAAGAGGGATCGGCTCTAGGACCAGGCATTTCAGTCCTCTTCGACAAGCACCGCAAAGCACGAGGATGGCTCTCGAACGACAAGTGCGCGCCAAGGTATGAGCTCGAGGATTTTCGTGCATCGTACGTTCGTTTCGTGAAGAATCCGGAAACATTTTGCCTTGTGCGAGATCGTTGCAACTTTATTTCGCTCAGTCGCATCCTGCCAACTCTGCTGTGAATCCATCCATCGTGAATATTCCGCTCGTCCCTGCTACCCTTTCCAACAATCCTTGCGTGTCTTGTAAATCTTCCGACTCGTACGAGACAAATTCTTTAATTCGTACGATGCAAATGTGTAAAATCGTTTCACGCAAGCCTATGAATTTGTCTCGTGCGAGCTTCTGCGTTTCAAAGGGTTGCGCTGAGCTTTGCAGCTCAGAACTGGGCCGAGCTGGATATCCGTGTTTTTCACTGGCGATTGAAATAAACCATTGTGAATCTCGTAATCGATATCGGTGACCACGGATGGGAAGATTCATGGGTTTCGATGTTTAAAATTGCTCGTTCTTTGGATTTGACAAGTGTTCTCCAGAAAATTCTTTTTCCGCGAAATTTCGAAGGATTTCACGTGGATGGTTCGTCAGTGATCTGTATAAGTTTCGAGAAAGATATCCTCGCGGTATTTATCGGAACTTTTCGGGAATTATACAGCCGATGTATTTTAGGGGAAATTCCCAGTTCGAAGATGATTTATTTTTTAACTCTGTACTTGTTTAACGATAGTTCGCGAAAACAGTGATTTCACCCGATTGTCTCGTTGCAGATCGCTGCAAAGCGTAACCCAGAGCAGGAAAAAGAGGCCCAAGAATGGATCGAGTCGATTTTGGGCAAGAAATTCCCACCAGGTGAAGCCTTCGAAGATGTCCTCAAGGATGGACAGGTGTTGTGCCATCTGATGAACAAGATCTCCCCTGGATCCGTCGCCAAGATCAATAGCAGCGGTGGTCAATTCAAGATGATGGAAAATATCAACTCGTAAGTGTATTTTGGAAATCAGTCTAAAAGCGAACCTAGAATAAGTTTGAATCTTTGAAGATGCAAGAACACATACGCGCGAAAATTGATAAAATATCCAAAGTATGATGCTGTTTGCGATATTTGATAGACAAAACATTTTGCCTCTGCTGTAAGTTCCTCTTTCTTTTGAATGATATTGATAAAAGTACTAATTTGTATAAATATCTGCAGTTTGAACTGTATCAATAAAACGAGATGAAACTATCAGCTTCTTACTATCAGGTTCCAGAAAGCTTTGAAAGAGTACGGCGTGAACGACGTTGACGTGTTCCAAACGGTCGACTTGTGGGAGAAGAAAGACATCGCACAGGTGGTGACGACCCTCTTTGCTCTTGGTCGTACGGTAAGTTTAATGAAAAAACCGGATCAGTGGTATCGAATAGGCGCGTAGCCTAATTATGCAATCGAATGGATTATTTAGTTTAATTCCATGCCACCTACAATCTCTAATTTCCAATCGTCCCAGTGTCTAACTTCTGTAACGAAATACAATATTTTAGCTTGACCTCGATAATCGGTTTCCACGTTACTTTCATCCTTTGATTATTCCACGAAAAGTTTCGCTAAATTGCAAATAAAATCTTCCCCACAGACGTACAAGCATCCAGAATGGAAAGGACCATACCTGGGACCTAAACCTGCTGAGGAATGCAAACGCGAGTTCACGGAGGAACAATTGCGCGCCGGTGAGACGATGATCGGTCTGCAGGCCGGTTCCAACAAAGGTGCCACCCAATCTGGCCAAAGTATCGGCGCCACCCGCAAGATCCTCTTAGGAAAGTGAATCAACGCGATATCAACAGGTTTAGATTAAAGAAAATTTATACTTTGTATGTACCATGTATATAAATATATATATTATGTATTTATTTTGTATTTTGTAATTAAATAATATATATAATATATATTTGTTATTTAACAAAGAACTGGTTGTATCTATCCTCGCCCTTATTAGGTCATTGCCGCGTGTCGTTTCGTCATTCGAAATTTTCCAAGGTTTCTAGAGTATTCTCGAGGCTGGTGTAAAAATACTACAAACGTGACGGTGGCCGTTGCGGATCGACGTTAACAGCGTTTTTAAAGCGGCTGCCAGTGTTTTATAGAAACATCAACGTCCAGATCCTCGTCTTTTTCGTCTCTGAATACCGCCAATTCCCGAATTATCGCGATTATTTTCGAAACTTCAACTTCACTGGGACCTCGTTCCTGCGAGTGTCTACGTTCGTCCTTGTCTTTGTCGTCACTGGCGCGTTTCAATTTCATTTCGATCGATGTTGCGTTGATCGCGCGAAATAAAAGATAAAAAAAGGGGGGAAAAAAGGACGAAGGATAAAAATTTTCAGACAACGGGGACCTCGTTCCTGCGAGTGTCTACGTTCGTCCTTGTCTTTGTCGTCACTGGCGCGTTTTAATTTCATTTCGATCGATGATTCGATTCGATCGATGTTGCGTTGATCGCGCGAAATAAAAGATAAAAAAAAGGGGAAAAAGAAGGACGAAGGATAGAAATTTTCAGACGACAGAAATCACAGAGACCTAGTGCTCCAGCATTTCTAGATTCGTTTCTGTCGTCACTGGTGCGTTTAATCGATGATTAAATTCGATCAACGTTAACTTGAATGAGAAACAACGTCGGAAAAAAGAAACAAAGGGAAGATAGAAGGAATTTTGAAGAATAGTGGAGAAACGAGAGAATTCTGGCAAATCGCGTGACTACATTCTCACAGTATAATTAGAACGCTGGAAATAAAAATACACCGGTGCTCGAAGGTTACGATGATTTACAGAAAGTCTAGACTCTTGTGTTCCTAATAGAAAGAGAAGCAAATAAACGAACGACTGCATTCTATCGGGGTTAAGTCAGAACATTCATATAGGAGTTTGTTAATGGGCAGAAACAACGAGATTTATTAAAAACGTCGTATTATCTGTTGAAGCGTAGATGCATCTTGTAGTTGGCGAATTTGTAAGAAATTTCTCTGTTGTCATTTCGATTCTGAATGGTTGGCGCGTGTGTACACCGAATGTTTGACCAGAACCAACAGTTTAACAGTGTTTGAACTGGTTTCATAGATCCGTTGTTCTGGCAAATGCAGCCACAATCCTTGTTTTACAGATGCAATTAGACTCAGGCTATCGTATTCGATAAAAACTTTGCTTCTACTCGATAGAAGCTAAACTCGTTACGAGCAACTGAATTTTTGAAGAATTTACGTAGTTTGTATTAGGTTGGCAACTAAGTGATTGCGGATCTTACCGATCCCATCGGATAAATCGTTCAGAATTATTTTATCGAGATAATGTTTTTCATTAAGTAGTTTGAATTCTTGGAATATGTGGAATATTATTTAAGGAGAGTATTTGGACCTTTCTAAAATGGATTATTCTCTTGGCGGTGGCCACAATTTGGCGATAATACAATAATACGATATTATTATTGTAATTCACAGAAATTTGGAAATAAGTTGAACATAATTTGTAAACGTCGTGTATCCCAGTAGGTTGATATCGAAGGAATTCTATTAGGTGGTAATTCTCATTAGGTGGTAATGACAAAATCCGCAATCACTTAGTTGCCAAGACAATGATATTGGAAATTAGACATTTCGAGGTTAGGGGATAACTGAAAGCTTCGGACAACGATTTGAGCTATCGCAATGATTTCGAATTTCAGATATCGATTTCGAGTATCGAGAAATTCTCCTATTCGGAAGATTTCGAAATATTCGAAATGTCTTTAATTTAAAAATCGCGAAAGTTTCCGAGTAGAAATTTAAAAGTTCGAGATCTCGTAAAAATGTCTAGTTTGAAATTTGCAAATACAATTTTCGAACCTAAATATACCTAGAAACTTTCGTTTCGAAACTGAAAGGTTGGAAGAATCGGTGGATCGCAGACCTAAAATTTACGACGATATTCGTTCGGGCAAATCTTCGCTACCAAGACAAATTATTTCCAACTTAATCCCAAAACACCCACGTATTACGAGTATAATAATAATAATAATGAAAAAGATTTTCTGACGATAAACAACAGGTGGAAGTAAATTGAAATCACAACGAGACGTGTTGGCTTTCGACTTCGAGACGACACGAAAATAGTGATATTGTAATTAGCATTGTGTATAGCGGTTGTAGACACATCTGCCGCGAGATTCGAGAGTTTGCCACGGCCTTCGACGTAACAGGCCGGTCTAAAATTATTTTCGTTTATTCCAGATGCGCGAATCTACGCCGCACAATTCTGGAAAAGCGGCGAAGGAACGTCTTCCATCATCGTTTCTAATATCCTTTGACAGTGTCGACCATTTTGCGTTCAGCGACAGCTTTAACGATTCAATCACGAATAATTAAACGTATCGGTTATGAAATGAGGACTCGAGATTGGCGACATCTATGTATCCGCTGCACCAGACTCCGTGGGTATAGCGGTGTTATTTACAGAAGGAAAAATTATTGTTCACTGCCAACTATAAACGTTTGAAAATCTGTTGCATAATTCGTTTCTCAGATAAAAATCGTGGTGTGTTTTTAATTTTCTAAACGATAGACGAAGAATGATTTGGTGTCTTGCGTAGTTCTACGTATTAATTTTACAGGACTTCTCGAGCGATAGAAATTAATTAGAACTTAATTTTGAGCTTAGGACGCGAAATTTGAAATTTGAAAAAGCCCGCGCGCGCTATTCGACATGTATTATAAAAATGTATAGAGCATTCCTCGCAAGCGGAACTTAATTATTCTTCACTATGGTTTAGGTTAGGATTACGAATTTTAGTGTAGACAGATTGC